GTCGATAAGAAGTCGTAACTTTTGATAATTCAATGCACGAAAGTCCTTCAAAGTCTTACTATTTAGCATCACTAAATCCCATTTTTCACGGTCTTTCATTTGGTATAAAATTCATCATATCTTCGATTTAGAATTATAGCGTCACCCCCTTGAATAATATTATTTACCACCCTGTACACTCGTGTGGACACCTTTTCTATCGATAAAAAACCTCATAGGAAAGGATTTTGTTGATAAGTGGACAGGCAGAAATAACAAATCAGTGAGAAAAAAGGGACAAAAGCAAGTTTCATAACACACTAGATTTGTTCTTATGGTGTAGTTTGATCAAACAATTTAATGGAAAATTTTGAGCCAGCAGAGGAAAATTATGAGATCTTTTGTCAAACTTACTCTAACTATACATCATTCTAAATTCTATAGCACGAAAATATGATCTAACACGTCAAAGAAGATTAAAGCGAAGAATTCTTTGAAACAGTGAGAAAGCATATATAGATCCGATAGTTTAAGTTCTATAATATTATTATAGGTTTAACATTGCTTTAATTCATTAAGTATGAATCAAATCAAAAATATATGCGATATAAAAATTTGCTCATTTGATTTTAAATGAGGAATAGTCACTTTCCGTTTTCACCTGTTGTTTGATTAGAAATATGAAAGCCCGAATGAGAGGGACATAGGACGATTTTTTGCTTTCTCATTCGCCCTCTTCTGGCACATGTCAAAATATACCTGTAGAATGATCAAACGACTATTAAACTTGAAAATGATAGTAAAAATAATTCAAATATTTTGTTGCTACTGCATATACAAAAGCTTTTTCAAAAAAAAATAACTCTTGTTGTTCTTCATATTTCTTTTGTATGATGTATTTACGCACTGAACGCATGCATTGTCTATCTCTGTATTGTGAAACTCCTCAACTATACACACGTATAATTATATTAAATTAATGTTCTTTATTTTTCATATGATAAGCAAAACAAAAAAGCGGGGTGAAACTTTTGGCCACTACTGTAGTTTCAACGGTACTGTAGTTTAAAAAACTACCATTTGAATCAAATACTCTAGTCAATGTTGCCGAACTTTCTAACTAATTAACTGGCGATTATTCTAATAAAAGTAGTTGGTAGAAGATGACGGAATAATTTTTGTGTCATATTCATATCTCACTTTCCTGCAAGTCGCTACCGAACCAGATAGACTAAAATAAAAACTTCATTTTTTGTTAGTGTTGGTGCATACAGGGTTCCTGATGCTATGGTCTAGACCCAATTTTGGGACCACAACATACGTTTTTAGGATCAGGTCCACTTCGTAGCTAAAGTTTTCAGAGTGGGACCAGATCGGATCGTATGAAACCCTGTCTCTCGAACTATCTGATATGATAGCATAGAATTAGACAGGACAACTGTGTGATATTCTAATATTTTACTCGCTTTAAAATAGCTGTTTTTTTTAATTAGTTTTTTATTCACACGTACCATGATATAAATAAGCAGGTACCTGCAGGTGATCGAACGAAACCAACTATAGGTGATAGGAATAGAGTCATGATAAGTTTTGCTTAAAATTTCTTTCATTACGCGCCAGTGTCAACATAAATCACATTGATATCCGTGCTCAATGAAAGAAATTTTAATGAAACTTTATCATAACCTAGGAATAGAAATATGACTATTCAGCGACGAATAAAGAGTGCCAAATCAATTTGATCTATCTATATTATGAATACCAGAAATCTTGCTTTAAAATCAAGAGAAATATTTTCGATCTGATTTTATATTATTACCGTTTTAAAAAAGAAAGGCGGCTGGGTAGAATGCTTATAACTTTTGAAGGGAAAGAACTACAGACATGCGGTTTTCACCGTTGGATAGAGAATATCGGGGGCGTAAGCATATGCAAAAACTAGGCTTCCAGATCTAGACCAATCTTAACTCTCTATCTCTTACGATAAAGGAGCTATAAACATTTTCCCGAGAGTCCCGATTTCGGCCAATTGACCTTGGGTGATCCTAAAATGGATCAAGATAGGGGTAATCGGCCACGCTGAGTCGAGTGGTGATGTTTATTTTCAGTTTCAAACCGACCTAAAGTCACTATATCAAGATTTTCGAAATATCCGTTCTATACGCAACATAACGGTAGAATGCTTTAATTTGAAAATCTTGATATAGAGACTTTAAGTCGGTTTGAAACTGAAAATAAACATCACCACTCGACTCAGCGTGGCCGATTACCCCTATCTTGATCCATTTTAGGATCACCCAAGGTCAACTGGCCGAAATCGGGACTCTCGGGAAAATGTTTATAGCTCCTTTATCGTAAGAGATAGAGCGTTAAGACTGGTCTAGTCTCAGTTCGGGCTATCGATTGCACTGTTTGAAAATCAAAATCCATCGAGACCGCCATCGTCCAGAAATGGCGGTCTCGCAGACTTTGCATCGAAAGACTTACCATGGTAAACCTTACCTGGAAGCCTAGTTTTTGCATACGCGTACATCCCCCGATATTCTCTATCCAACGATGAAAACCGCATGTCTGTATCCCTTTTCGTTCAAATGTAATAAGCATTTTGCCGAGCCGCCTCGTTTTTCGAAAAGGATGATAGTAAGTGTGTGTTTCAGATAAATGACTGAATAAATTTTGCGTCAGACTAGCCTTCTTGCTGGTTTGAAAACTAATAAATGGATGAATGATTAAATTTGAAGATCATCAGCTATATGAAAGATATTGTGCTAATGAATACTGAAAAGTCTGATTTATTAGCATTTCATACCGTCAACAGTAGTCACAAGATGGGTATTCTAGATTCTATAAAATCTCCAATAAAATCGAAGAAAATATCAGACTATGAATGTGCATGTAAATAAACAAGATCGAATAGAAGCAGATCTTCATTATAAATTAAAGATAAGAATAAAAGCAAATACAGATCAATAACCTTGACTCAGAATTTGACTTCGATTATGTACTATGCAGGTATAAAAAAGTAGAATATGTACCATAGAAATTATGTATTGGTAGTAGTTGCCGAGCAAGTACTGCAGCAGTACGGTGCGACTCCTGCTGTATCTAAGAAATTGAGAAATTTTTTTGCCTTCTTTTGCTATAAACAGTCTTTACTTGGTGCCTGTCTCAGGATATAAAAACAATAAAAGCTTGTAATAACTTCTCAGTGTAGTCCCTGTAATACAGTTAAGTTTATATGTCATCAGAAAATTTGAAAGTCTATCATTTTATAAAATTACTTTATAGAGAGATATATCTTTAGATTATCTGTTAGACTTTTACTCACACTCATTCTATATCTCACTCTTTCGGTCCTTTAAAGAGTACACGAGAACAAAACTTTGTTTCTGTTTAACCATGCTTATCTATTATTACTGGCACATTCACATTCATAGTCTAATATTATTTTTCAATTTTTATTAGAGAATTTATAGAAATCACCGGCGATTTTATATGTTCTAAAGAAATTTGAAGATTTTGTGCTCATTTAATAGTATCTCACTTCTGTAATTTCTCAATAAAAATATACACAAATAACAAATTCATAAAAAATCAATAAAGAATAAGAAATTTAACAATGTGACAAACACCCATAAAAAAAAAGAAAATTACAAGAAAATTCACCTATAGAGTAAGTTACTTATTATGAAATAAAATGAAAAATAAATATTATGACTAAATCGTATTTTACGGAGGAGTTATGAAAACATTCGAAAAAAATGTAGCACCATATGTAAAATATAGCACTGAATAATGCTCCTTTCTTAATTTTTCTTTCCATATTCTATTTCAGATATTTTATCTTTTGATTAGAATATTCTAATAATCACAGTTTTAGAGCTCTTAAGTTAGTATTAATAACAGCTCACAATTGCACTTGAAAAATTCACAAATACAAGTAAAATAAAAATAGAAACTGAAAAATGTCTGAATAAAGTGTGTACGAGTATTTGAGATAACAATTTGTGTGAAACGAAAGAGATTCAAAAATACCACAAATAAATATGCATAAGGAATGTAGAGAATAAATTCAAAAAAAAAAATGTCATTCTTTTAAATCATTCATTAACTACTTTAAATTAAAATTTTTGGTTCAGTAACTGATTCACTAATTGATTTATGTGGCAATATAGTACCACCATTAATGAATAGTTCATCTTGAACAACAACATCTAATCCGAGCACAGTGGTATTTTCCATACGAACCTATAGATAAATAAAATACAATAAGATAAATTAAAACTACTAAATAATTTTAAGTTTACCCATTGTCCAATAATACATCTCCAACCGATAATACAATTAGCTATCCATGAATGACTTTTAACTAAAGAATCTGATAATACTGTACAATTTTTTAAACATACACCATCTTCAACAACAACATTAGGACCAATAACAACATTGGGACCTATACGACATCTTTCACCAATTCGAGCAGATGAATCCTATAAAAAAAAACTCTATAAAGTATAATACAATGATATCTATTACAATATTTACTATTAAAACATTTCCCACAATACAAGTTTCATGAGATAATCTGTCGGGATTAGAATGTCGAACATAATTTAAATATAAACCCATTCCAGTTAAGTAATCTTTTGGTTGACCAACATCCATCCAAAATCCTTGAATAAATAATAAATAAAATTTATAATATTTTATCATTATTGACTAAATAACATTTCTTTTTTTTACCTTTCAATTCATAAGCATACAATTCTTCATCTTTAGCCATTGCTGGAAATACTTCTTTTTCAATTGATGTGGGTTTCAACTAAATAAATGAAGTAAAAAATAAAAAAATATTTTTTTTTATGATGAATGAAAAGTTAGAAATATGTAATTACTTGAATACGTTCAAGAATAGAAGAATTAAATATATATAAACCGGCATTAATTTTATTTGACACATATTCACGTGGCTTTTCGACAAATCGTTGAATTTTTCCAGTATTTATTTCATAAACTACTACACCATATTTACTCGGCTCTTCTACTTTAGTAATCTTTTAAAATATAAAAATTTTTATATAATTTTCTAAATAGAGTCAATTCAAATTAACGATTGAAATACATACTACAATTGTTCCTTCATGTCCATGTTTTTTATGAAATTCAATTATTTCTCCAAATGGAAATTCACAAATAACATCCGAATTTAAAACAAAAAATGGTTCGTTATCTGTTTTTAAATGTTCGCGTGCTAATGCTAACGGTCCAGCTTAAATTTGAAAAAAATGAAAAAAAGAAAAATATAAACTTAAAAAATGAGTAAGAGAAACACACCCGTTCCTAATGGTACCGTTTCTTGTGATATTGTTATTGTTATATGTAAACGTTTAGCTTCAGTTTCCATATCCCGTTGTAACATATCAGATAAGTAACTAACAGCTAATATCACATGATCAACACCGGCCTATACAACAAATATTTTAAAAGAAAACTATTTGTTATTGTTAAAAATTATAAAGAATTTTACTTGTACAAGTGCTTCAATTTGATGTAGCACCATCGGTTTATTACAAAATTCAACTAGTGGTTTGGGTTTAGTTAATGTTAACGGTCTTAATCGTGTCCCGTAACCCCCAACTAATATCAGAGCTTTCATTTTAAAGTTTTTTCTTTAATTTACTTAATATGAGAATTGATGAGATTATTTCTAGAATAAGATTATGCATGCACACATCAATATCGATGTTGATAATATATAGAAAATAGTACAGCTTGTCTAGAACTATTGAATCAAAATAATAATGAATAAGCTATAAATCTTAATTTTAATGTGTTTTGTCAAAGAAAAAAAAAAATACAATTTAAGGACGGAAAGTAGAGAAATGAATGGGTGGTATTAACTTGTCAAAATATAAAATACAGTGTTGCTAGGATTACATACATAAAAACTCATTGAGCGTGATATACAACTCACTATGTAGAAAAATTGAAAATTTGTACCAGCAACAAGAAGAATTATCGACAAAACAAATTACGAACAAGCACGATTTGATTGCATAAAAATTAAATACGTTGGAACAAAGAGCGAGAGAGAGAGAGAGAGAGAGACAGAGAGCGAGAGAGAGAGATTCTATATAGAAACAAGAAAAAAGAACTCTGGATACGTTCATTCAACAGCACTGTATGTATTATTTATGAATTAAAAACATGTTCTATGCATGAAACGTAGAAAATAAAATTGATATATCAATAAACGGAAGAAATGTGTTATCTACAAATCGTACTGTTCAAATAAATTAAAAATACAAACATAATATGATATAATATCTTCAAGAGCAAAAAAAATAATATTTTGTAATGTGAAATAAAAAAAAAATCTAGAAAAAAAAGTGTATGAAAAAAGAAAATGCTCAAGCACAAAATAATTATTATTCATCATGTTCGATTGTTTGTATTAGATTTGGGTTTAATACTTTCAATAATATTTCCTCTTAAATCGACAGCATGTCGAATGATAGTTTTACAGAAAAAACATTCATTATTCGTCATTAAATGATGGCACATACAGGAACTAAATAGAGAATAAAACAAATTTTAAAATAAAATTGAATGATAATAATTAAACATTTAATTACATGCATGCTTGATGTGCACAAGGTCGAAATTCAGCTTGAATTGGATGTGAACAACATATAATACATAACGATTGACCATTTTTATCACGTTTCTCTATTTCAGCTTTTATCGTTACATAACTTGATAATAAAATCTTAAATAGTTCATCTAATTCTCTTGCTTCTGATGAATTAATCTCGTTTTCTAGTGAAATTAAAATATAAATGAATTCAAAAAACAACGATAACTTATTTCAAACGAGTACGATACTCACGAGATATAAGAGCAAAAGTATTTTGAGAAATTACAGTTGCACCACCTATATGATAACGATCGTCATTATCAGATGATTTTTCATAGCCAAACAATAAACGATGTAAACAATTCATATCTAAATCAGCTTCATAGTGTATGGCATTACAAACACGCGATGAACTATAAAATAAAATTGAATGAATAATTAGAAAGAGAATAATGCAAAAAATTAAAGTAAAATTTTATTTTTGAACTTATTCTACATAATTGAATAGAGAGCATTTCGAGGTGATTAGGAAAATATATTTTTTGAGGTGAAAAATTGAAAATATTTAAAAGACCTAAAAAGTCGAAAAATTCTTCAAGTTCGAGTTCCAGACAAAAGATTTTTTTTCTTATTCAGCATTGAAAACTGAATAGAAAACTGATATTTGATCAATTTTGAATTTAAAAGCTTGCTCAGCATGGATGTTCCAAACACACCCTCTAAAGTGCAGACAAGGGATTCTGTAAGCCTATCTAGTTTTTGTGTTAGGGGCTCAAGCTGTCATTTGCACGTCATTAGATTCGCTCAAAGGTTGGCTTCAAAAGGATAACTAGCTTTTTTAAAATTTTGCTTCGTTGGTGAGAAAATTCAGTTTTTCTAAATCAGAGGCGGAAAGGTCAGAATTCTGTTCGTAATTCTCAACTTCAATCAGAACTCAATTTTTAAGCCATAAAAATATTATATTTGGAATCAGGGTCAAAAGCTGAGTCGACCAGTGTGCATTTCTATCCTATCCGACTACTTTAAATTTTTTTCGAATTTTCACAATGAAAAATTACCGAGATTTTCACCCAAAACTGAAAATCAGCTAAAAATGTCGAAATACACATTAGTCGATTCAGTTTTTGATCCTGATTCCCAATATGATATTTTTATCGCTTAGAAGTTGAGTTTTGATTGAGAGAAAACCAGATAGGCTTACAGAATCTCTTGTCTGCACTTTAGAGGGTGTGTTTGGAACGTTCATGCTGAGCAAGCTTTTAAATTCAAAATTGATCAAATATCAGTTTTCTATTCAGTTTTCAATGCTGAATAAGAAAAAAAATCTTTTGAAATTTTGTATACTTGTCTGGAACTCGAACTTGAAGAATTTTTCGACTTCTTAGATCCTTTAAATATTTTCAATTTTTCACCTCAAAAAATACATTTTCTTAATCAGCTCGAAATGCTCTCTATTCAATTATGTAGAATAAGTTTAACAATAAAATTTTACTTTTATTTTTTGCATTGTGCACACCTTAATTGTGTAACTACTTACGCTTCATCCGACGAATGAATAATCAATCGAACAAGAATACCGCAAACAGCAGAAAATATTGGATAATAATGAATATTTTCTAATGCTAAAATGAAAAGTTCATATTCACAAACTTGAAATACAAAAAACAAAAAAAAGATATTTACTTGATACTTTCATCTGAAATATTTGTTGAAAAAGTATATTATTTTTAGTTGACAATCTATTAATAATTTGACTAAGTAACTGAAAATAGAAAAGAATTAATGATTATTCTATTAATAAATAAATTTTTATTTTTACTTGCAAAAGTCGAACAAGTAACATTTCTGACTGTTGTGATTTTTTTTCTAATACTAGAGCAGGTGCAACATTGACAGATAATTCAATTGTTCGTAATAAACTCACAGATACATCAAAACAGGTTGAACACATTTTTAATTGTCGATGATCAATTGTTAGTGATAATCCTGTACGAGGTCGTTGAACTAACTAGAATGGAAAACGGTAATATATTTTGAATGGGAAATATTGTTTTTTTTATTTATTTATACATACATCTTTCAACATGCCCATAAATTCTGAAAATGCCCAATTCAATTGATTTAGTAGAGTATTAAAAAAATTAATTGCATCATCAGTATTATCCAATAAATATTCACCAATTTCTTTTTGATATAAAACGGATGGACAGGGTTCTGAAGAAGAAGAAAAACAAAAAAATTTATAAAAATATTATTTTCCTCTTTTTACAATTTATAAATTTTTATTTATTTTACCTTGAATTCGATCTTTTCTTGGTCCTTGTAAAAGGCGTGATTGATATAATTGTGAGTAACGAAATCCAAACCCACAACCCTATTTAAAAAGTAGTTGTTCAATAAATAACATTATTTATTAAGAAAAAAAAATATTTTGTATACCTTCCAAAATCTCACAAGAATCAAATTTGTCATTGCCCATGATCGATTGGCATATGGAGATAGTAAAGCATTAATCATTGTTTTACGATATGTTTGTGGCATGTTCTCAAGTAATTTTAACATTTCAGGATAGAATGCTAATGTACTCAGAGATTGTACAATATTATCTCGAACATCTTAGAAAAAATAAAATAAATAATAAAGGTCAAAAATAAAAAAATTCTTCTCTATTCTTACCAACGTTAATAATGCGTTTATCTTGCAAATGACTTACAATAAATTCCACAAAATTTTCAGAAACATCTTTTGTTGTCAATGAATCTAGAAAAAGTAATACATAAATAATCAAAAAATTAGAATAGAACAATAAATAAGATACCGTCTGGTGAAAAGTACGAATTAAGTGCCGTAAATGTATTTAAATAAATATCAATATAGATTTCTGGTACAAATGTAAATAAATTTCCTGATTCAGATGCTTTTTGTAATGTACGATGAATACAACGATGCATTGCTACTATGTGTTTTTTCTTTTCCTAAAAAAAGAAAAATGAATTTATTTTTATTTCAATAAACGATATAATAAAATATTACAAACAGACCTGTGAAAAAACGGCAGTAACTACCCATGCAGCTTTTCTCATAAGATCTTCTACTTGTTCTTCAAATATTTTTTTTGAACGTAATAATTCATCCATTATTTCATTAAATTCTGGTCGACAATTTTTTATTTTCGTTTCTATATCAGCCAAAGCATTGGAATAATCACGCAATGTTTCAGTTACTTCTGTTATCTGAAATAATATACCAATCATACGAATTTGTTATTGAAAATAATAACATATTTTTACTTACTTTGACAAAATGTTTATGTACGCCAATATGATAAAGAAAAATGATTCCATCTAACAGTTCTGTTAAACTTTCTGAGCCAGTTTTGAGTTTGGATAGTGATGTATCAGGTAATGTGCTACTATTTTGTTTTGAATAATGACGTCGATGATCAGCTGAATGAAAGAAAAAAAGAGTGTTTTTATTTTCTAAATGATTCTTGAGAAAATAATTAGTCAATATACATGCGGAATCTTTGCGTTGAGTTGAAAAAGCGTCTGATAGTGAACGAGAAAAGAATGAAGAAGACGACGATTGAGACGAGCGTGCTGCTTTCAAATCGCCTAAAATTTTTCAAGAAATAATTAAATATCAATAATTCACTATGATTATAAGTAATTAATTTACTAGCGTATTCCTTCTCTAGATGTGCTTTTAATCCTCCAAGACGTTGTAAATCAAAATAATCAAGATTATCGTCGTAAAATTTGCTTGTTGGAACATAGGCTTCTAAAATAAAAATAAAACTGATCATATACTTGTACAAAGATATTTTCTTCCTTGTATTCTAGTACGTACGTTCAAATGATAGAGATGATTCCACTCCTTCATCTAACGCTTTGATTTCATGATATTGATTCCAATAATATTCGAGCACTTGAAATAGACGATGAAACAAATTTCTAATTACGCCTGGAGATACTTGATTTGAAGCTTGAAGCTATAAAATAGACGAGTACAATGTTAACTTTTGATGATAGAAATAGTTGCTATTTATTGTCTCATACAGGTGATTCGGTTAAATTTTCTTTTAAAAATAAACGAAATTTTGTGATGAATAAAAATTTAGATGATGGTGGACGAACAAGAACGTCTGACGGTAATAATAGTAGTTTTAAAATTTCAACTTGTATAGTTTCAATTGTTTGAAGATCTTCTTTCAAGGATCGACAAGCAAATAAATAAGCTAATTCTTGTTCTAAAGCTTCGAATGTAATCGATGTTGCCTACAATTGTAATATATTATAGATATAAATAAATTTAAGATATTCAATTGTGACTCACCGATTTTGATTTATTCCAAACTGTTGGTACAATTTCTTTTAAAACTTCGCTATCTGGAGGTTTAATATCGATGAAAAGAGGAAACTTTACTTTAGTAAATCTTATTATATTGTTAAGAAAATTTTTTCAGTATTCATTTTATGAAAACACTGAACAATATTAAAAATAAAAAAGGATACAATATAGTTTCTAAGACTCTTTTTCGTGTATCTTCATGTTTCAATAAAGCTAGTACCAAATATAAATATTGTCGTTGATCAGCAAATGATATTTTGATTGGTGCAAAACAATACATAACATTCAATGTTAAAAAAATTTGGGTTAAAATATCAAGTAATTCTGTTGGCTAAAGTAAAATGTTCGATTAAAATCAAATTATTAGATGATTAGAGCATACCTCTAAAAATGACCAAAGCAAATCGAGAAATATTTTTATTTCTAAATGTTCATCATTCAATGTCTGTCTACATAATCTTAACAACATTTTTAATAAACATTCTTCAACAACGTAGGCCGAATCCTAAAAGTAAGACAGTAAAAATCAAATTTAGATGTAAGTAGAAAAAATAAAAATGTAATATACCATTAGCGGAGTCAAACGTTCCAATACTTGTCCAGCTATTAGCATTAAAGCCGAATCATTTGATATAGTCTGTTGATTAGCATTGATATCTTCGGATAACAATTTGTAGGAATTTGACTGAAAAAAAAGTAAACATAGATATAGACAACTTTCGGTTTATTAGTAGATGATTTACTTTTGTAGCGTGTGTTTTCAGTGCTATTTTCTCACTGAATGCTCGAATAACAGATTCAAATATATTCAGTAAATAATCAGCTTCTTTAATTAAACGTGTCGGTTTTAGATCAAACGGTAGAAATCCTTTCGTTGGATAACGTAATGGAGTTGCACCAAAATTAATACGTATACATTCATTTTGAGAAAGACTAATAGCAGGAAAATACGCTATACCGGCTCCAAATGATACATTTGAGAATGCCACGCCTAAGTCTGCACCATTTCTAAACAAAAAATAATTTCTTTCGCGTATACAAAGAAAGTGTAACGAGGATATAAAATTCGTGTATTACAAATTTTCGATTACTCTCACTCCAGTCATATCTTCAAATTATATATGGCTAACTTTTCACAATAGTATACCTCTTAAAAGAAATTGTGCCTTCGTCACAATCAATAAGACAACTTATCACGTCACCAGCAAGCCAAGGCTAAAACAAATTTTTCAACATTTTCTTTTTAAAGAAAAGTTTCGTTTAATCGTATTATTACATCGCCATATTTTGAATTCTGTACATTCCATTTTCTTACACGTTGGCCATCATAAGAATATGATGTCCATGTATCGCCGACGCCAATCTGTAATAACACAATGTGTGAATGAGATTAAAGTCTAATGATAGATGAGAACTTTTATATAAACCTCCTGAGAGAATCGACAGTTATAAGTACACCATCCAAGTTGCATAATCCCACGAGTTTCTAACATCACTTCATACTGCCATTTTCCTAAATAAAAAACAATGAATGAAATCTCTTTTGACCTCTTTTCTTAAGATAATCTACCTTTATAAACACATACGTCAGCTCGAATTGTATTAAAATTTGCTATTCCAGTATACTTAAGTCAAATATGAAAAAAATCATTAGGAGATCGCTTTTCTCAGATATAACTTACATCTGTTTTATTACACTTAAAAAGACCAGTTACACCATCGAAATGAAAACTAGTCACATCTGATCCAAGTCGGCCAGTTTCATACATGCGTGCATGACCTAGACAATATGTAATGAAATGTAAGTCCAAAAAAACTTTAAGATAACTGAATAGTGCATACTGCGTATTTCATCTGAGTTTGTACCAATTATGGCTAGAGTTGAATCTAAGTAACTACCCAAATCGCTAATTTTATTATGACGATGACTGAAATAGAAAAGTATCCTTTGTTTATTCACTAATGTAAAGAGATATTCTGGAATATACCGATCTCTATTTGTTTCATCAAATTGACTTCCATATACGCCATTTGATTGAAAAATTTTTGACAAAATATCTTCGGCACTTGTCATGAGAAATCAATCTAAAAACGATACCAAGCAGAGGTGGAATCAAATCGTTTTTTTAAGAAATCAATCGATCTTACATCTTTCACCAAAGAATTTAGATTTAGTGACGAAACGAGTTTCTGTTATAATGAACATGCTATAACATCGTCTTTATTATACCCTATTTATGAGCTTACAAAAGAGCACAAATGCTGTGCAGCTTGTCCACCACAGAAAGCTTTTCTTATACCTCTAGACTAACAAAGCTTTTGAGTTCCTACCACATTTTGAACCATAAAGTTGTTGCCATTCTTTAAAAACAACAAGAGGGAAAAAGAAAAAACAACAACATTTGGCTTTAATTCTTAACTGAAAGTAGCGACTAGAAGGTCGCATTATCGAATATTTGCCATAAATAAGAAAAACATGCAGTGATCCAATGTGACTCGTAGAAAACGAAGAATTTTTATAGATTTGAAAGTATTTTAATAATAGAATTTCAACCAACTGGAGTTAAACAGGGTCTATAAACGTACTAAGATATGTCAACAGTAAAACTCTGCAAAATTGTTTCAAATCCACATGTAAACGTGAATCATATTTGAAATAGTAGGGCTCCAAATCTGAAAAACCTAGCTGCAGGCCTCTAATCATTAACTTGATTTCGACTTTTCGAGGAAGATGTCACTTTCTTCGCTGTCTTGTCCTTTGGCTACGGTAATGCACTTTGGAAAACTACAGATAAGAAATTAGTCTTATTACTTTCACTTCTTAAAAAATGGAATCTTATTTTACAGCTAAAAGAATCCAAGCAAGGAACAATAACTTTGAATCAAGATTTTCGTGATCAGCTGAGTTGTCGTCCCATCCAGTAATTGGGCAAACCAAGAGCCAATTGTATCTGCTGGCATTATTGAAGAAGGATATTATAGGTATCTATTTTTCTGCGCCATCTAGAACGATGAATCCATTATAAGCAGAACATCATCCTTTATATGAAAAGCAGAAGTCCTTTTTTGATAATTTATATCTTCGTAATTCAACATACACACGTTATTTTGCTAGGTTTTACTGCTCTTTTCTTCCTGTATCGTCTATCAGAGTTAAAAGACATTCTTTTTTACGTGAATGTCGCCCTCATTTGACGAGAACAAAGTCTATGCTCATCTTGTTCACTCTGAAGTCAGACGTATTGGAAGTATTGAAATTTTCAGCATTATGATAAAAAATCCATTATTAAATCATTGAAATCCCGAGTAGTTGAGTACTATATAATATCAGCCACGAACTGCCTATAGCCGTGATTAAAGCCGCGGATGGAACATCAATGAGATATATACAAGCTAAGAAAAAATGATCGGTAAATGTCGTTGATGTTAAACAGATACCGAGTGTACCACAAAACGAGCCAAGGATCACCATCAAATATAACAATGGATCAATTATTGGTAATATCTCAACAGC